CCATCTTCTCTTGATGGTTTCTGCATTACTCAATTATTTGTCCAGAGAATCTTTCAATAATTCAAGTCGAGGCTTGAATTTTTTTCTTCAGTTCCCCTGGCTTTAGAAATGCTGAGTGTATTCTTCCTTTTTGGTTTTCTGATTCCAAATCTTTGCATATTTTATTATAACATTTGTCTTTATCTTCTCAAGCTGATCTTTGAAATTTTCTGTTCAGCTCTTGGACCTCCTCATTTCTTGCATTTGCTTTAGCATCTCTACACTGGAGAACAAATTTCAGAGTCTTTTTTGACATCCATTTTGACCTTTTCTTCTTTCTTGTCTTCTTAATGACTTTTTGCTTTCTTCATGTATGGTGTTGTTGATGTCATACCACAACTCTTCTGGTCTTTGGTCTTTAGTGTTTGATGTATCAAATCTGTTCTTCAGATGATCTCTAAATTCAGGTGGGATATGTTCAAGGTCATATTTTGGCTCTCTTGGACTTGTTTTCATTTTCTTCAACTTCAGTTTGAATTTGCATATGAGTAATTGATGGTCTGTTCCACAGTCTGCCATGGCCTTGTTTTGAATGCTGATATGGAGCTTTTCCATCATCTCTTTCTGCAGATGTAGTCCATTTGATTTTTATGTATTCTATCAGGTGAGGTCCATGTGTATGGTCATCTTTTATGCTGTTTGAAGAAGGTATTTGAAATGAACAAATCAATGGTTTTGCAGAATTCCATCATGCATTCTCCAACATAATTTCTATCACCAAGGCCATATATTCCAACTGCTGATCCTTCCTCTTTGCTCCCAACGTTTGCATTCCAATCACCAGTAATGATCAATACATCTTGATTGCATGTTTTATTGATTTCAGATGGAAGAATTTGGTAGAATAAATATGGATCTCTTCTAATCAGTTGGCCAGGTAGCTGTCTTCCAAAGCTCTTGTCATAGATGAGTGAGTGCCTCCAGTGCTGCTTCAGTTTGTTGAAACATTTCAGTTGGTATTCTGTCAATTCCTGGAGCCTTGTTTGTTGCAAATGCAGTCTATGTAGCCTGGACTTCTTCCTTCAGTACCATCTGTTCTTGATCATATGCTACCTCTTGGTATGGTTGAACACTGGACAGCTTTTTATTTTTTCAGTGCATGGACTACGTATTCTTTCTATATCCTTTTGATGCTTCTTGCATCATTCAATATTTTGCTCAAAGAATCCCTCACTATTGCAAGCTGAAGCTTCAATTTCTTTATTTTAATTTCTTTCAGATTGAAAAATGCTTTTGGTTTTCTAACTCCAGATCTTTGCACATTTCATTATAATACTTGGGAATTTTTTGTTCAACTCATTTGCTTCATCATTTCATCCAATCACTTTAGTATCTCTACATTCAAGAGCAAGTTTTAGTCTCCTCTGAAATCCATTTTGGTATTTTCTTTCATTACAGTCTTTTAAATGACCTTTTGCTTTCTTCATGTATGATTCTTAATATCATTCCACAGTGTTCTTCAGTCATTGTTGTCTAGTGTATGAAAATTCTTCTTGAAATGGTCTCTAAATTCAGATGGAATATACTCCAGGTCATATTTTGGTTCTTGTGGACTTGTTTGACAAAGAGTCAAACACATTAATTGGTGAAGAGATAGTCTCTTCAACAAATGGTGCTTGGAAAACTGGAAATCCATTTACAGAAGAATGAAACAAGATACATATCACATATCATATACAAAAATGAACTTAACATGGATTAAGACCTAAATGTAAAACCTAGAAGTATAAATATCAATTAAAATAGAAACAAAATTTGGGGCTTTGATACATGGCATAAATACACTAGCAAACATAGTTGAAAACATATAAACAGCAGAAAACAAAACAGATGAATGGGACTGCCTAAAAATTAGACACTAGTGTGTGTCAAAATATTTCACCAAAGAGTAAAAAGAGAACCCACAGACTGGGAAAAATTTGTGAGTGACATATCAAACAAAGTACTAATCTCTAAAATTTATAGAAAATCTTAACATCTCAACAAGAAAAAGAGAAAATAATCCAATCGAAAAATGGGCAGAGGTCATGAACAGCTACTTCCGCAAAGAAGACATTTATAGGTGATCAACAAATATTTGAAGAATTACCCATGATCGTTAGCTACTAGAAAGATATAAATGAAAACAACAATGAAATATTACCTCAGCCCAGCATTAAAAGCAAAGTTCGAAAAAACAGAAAACAACATATGCTGGCAAGGGGGTGGAGAGACTGGAACCAGTTTACATTGTAAAATGGTGCAACCATTGTGAAAAACAATATGGTACTTCCTCAGAAAGTTGGAAAAGAAATGCTATATTACATAGCAATCCCTCTATTTTGTATATAACCTAAGAAATAAGAGTTATGACACTAATAGACACATGAGTACTGCAATCATGGAAATGAAGTATATAATTGGTTGAATGTAAAACTAAAGATCTACTCTGTAAACCTTCACTCAATACATAATAAAATTTTTTTAAAAGAAGATGTAAGAAACACAGACTCACTTTGCCAAAAAAAAAAAAAAAATTGGTAGACATTCAGCTGTTTCAGGAGGTAGCATATTATTAAGAACTGATGGTACTGAAGGAAGAAGTCCAAGCTGCACTGAAGGTATTGCTGGTTAACAAGGCTTCAGAAATTGACAGAATACCAATTGAGATCCTTCAACAAACAGATGTAATTTTGGAGGTGTCTTTTACAAAAAACTTGCTGACCTACTGGAAGAGATCCATATTTGCACCCCTTACAAGGTAAGGTGATCCAATGAAGTGCAGAAATGGTTGAATACTGTAATTATATTCACACTCAAGTAAAATTATGCTGAAAATAGTTTTAAAATGTTTGCCAGATTAAGAAGATAACACAAAATAAAGGATATCATTGCTGATGTCAGATGGATTTTGGTTGAAAGCAGAGAATGCCTATGATCATTGACTACACAATGGAGTTTGACTGTGTGTATCATAACAAACTATGGATAACAATGTGAAAAATGAGAATTCAGAACACTCAATTATATTGCTGTGGAAGCTGTACCTAGACCAAGAGATAGTTGTTTGAACAAGACAAGTGAATACTGCGTGGTTCAAAATCAGGAAAGGTGTGTGTCAGGGTTGTAACCTTTCACAATAGTAATCCAATCTGTATGTTGAGCAAATAATCCAAGACAGTGTATCATATAAAGAAGAATGCAGCATAAGATTGGAGGAAGACTCATTAGCAACTTGCAATATGCAATTTGCACAGCCTTTCTTGCTGAAAGTGAAGAGAACTTTAAACATGTACTTGTTAATGTGCTGGATTGTAAAATCGATTTGAACTGCAAGGTAGGAAGTTCAAGCTGACCAGCTGCTTCTCAGAAACCCTATACAGGGTCGCTATGAGTCGGAACCAACTCGGCAGCACTTAACAACAACATGTATACATATACACATACACAGTGTTGGTGATGGAGTTGGTTCCAGCTCATAGCGACCCTACATAGGGTTTCCGAGGCTGTAAATCTTTATGGGAGCAGAAAGTCTCATCTTTTTCCTGCAGAACTGCTGGTAGTTTCAAACTGCTGACCTTCATAACACCCTGACTCATAACCACTGTACTACCAGAGTACCATCTACATGTACATATTTGTGTGTATATATATAAAACAACAATATACATATAAAAGACTAGGCTTACTAGTTAGGAAGAGACTGGAGGAACCTGAAACTACAACCTCCTTCAGTTCTGAAAAGGTCTGGAAAAGAACTCACCCTCGTGGCCCAATTTTAAGCTAAGCATTTATAGATATACAGAGGGGATAACAGCACTAGTAACTATGCTCACCATGGAATGGTCAATCATTCAAAAGTAAAAGGTCAAAATGAACCTAAGGACAAAGTTGAGAAAGGATGGGAAGGTAGGTGGAATGGAAATAGGAACCACAGGAAGGAAGCGGTGTAACGTTGCATGGAGGGATTGCAATCATTGAAATGAAACAAAGCGTATGATTGTTGAGTGTAAAACTGATGATCTTGACTGTAAATCTTCACTCAATTCAGGCAGTGTTTCATTCGGTCGTACATAGGGACACTATGAACTGGAACTAGCTGAATGATACTTAACAATAGCAATACAAAATGACATAGGTTGAAAGGAAATAGCAAATCATAAGAACTGGGCTGCTAATCACAAAGCTGGTGGTTCAAACTCACCAGTGGCTACTTGGAAACCCTATACAGGGTCACTATGAGTTGGAACTGACCCGATGGCACATAACAACAACAACATATGGTGGTGCAAATGGTTAAGCTCTCAACTATTAGCATTTCAGATCTACCCAGCAATGGCTAGAAAGAAGGGCTGGAAGGATCAAGGCCACAGCCTTTAAAACCCTGTGGAATATTCTGCAATTATGAGTTGGAATCAACTCATCAGCAACTAGTGTTTTTTTTGTTTGTTTGTTTTATATACACAGAAAGAAATTGGTCTAAATAGACAGAACATGACTATAGACACTGTCTCTTGTACCTATTATTCACATCAGCGAAGGTAAAACACTGATTTCCTAAGTGTCAGGTTTGGCTATCTCATTGTATTTATGAAAATGTGGAAAAATGACACACATTCAAATAGGTACTTTGTCCAGAAAATATGTGTTCCCAAGAATTCAGAATGACTACGACTAGCATTGCTAAGGAGCTCTGGTAGTGTAGTGGTTACGAATCGAGCTGCGAACCTCAAGGCCAGCAGTTTGAAACTACCAGCTGCTCCGCTGGAGGAAGATGAGGCTTTCTGCTCCCGTAAAGATTTACAGCCTCGGAAACCCTGTGCAGGGTCGCTATGAGTTGGAACCGACTCCATAGCACATAACAACAACAATAACTTTGTTTATAGTTATACTTAATGCTTAGTTTTTCTAAAGAGTTGTTCCTGTTTAAATTTTTTAGGAGATACTGTATCTTCTTTAATTCCACTTTTCTCTTAAACCAGATTTCTGCTGCAGAAAACCATGGCAATGAATCAGGTGTAAGAGAGCTACTGAGAAGGATTGTACTGAAAGAAAACTGGTTTTCTACATTTCTGAGGGTTCTGAATCAAACAGGAAATGAGAACCTCGCCAAAGAGTTAACAGGCTCTGAAAGCACTGCAGGTATTTCTCATTTTACTAAGGATGACTTTGCACATTTTGCTTTGTTCTTATTAATTTAATAAAACCTGTAGACAAAATGCCAAATAAGCACTGGGATTTGTAGAATCAAAATTTAAAAAATTGTACGGATTTAAGATATCATTGATTCTAACCCTTTACCAAGGAAGAAACTGATGACTAGGAAGAATGACTTTTCACTGTAAATTGGGCTAGAATATTTATTCCTGGCCCAGTGCTCTTTCTGCAGTCATCTTATTTTGAAAACAAGATGATTGCCTGTAACTTTCATCAAGATAGTTTGAACATTTGAACATTGAATGTTGTCATTTAGTGCCATAGAGTCAGTTCTGACTCATAGTGACCCTGTATAGGGTTTCCAAGAAGCCAGCACTACACCAGGTCAAATAAATTGGAACAAAAAACATTAGTAGTCATTACAACTCTGCTGCATAGTCTTCTGAGCATTCTTATAAATTCTTAAAGAATCCCGGAGATGATACTTCCTAATGGAAGGGATAGGCAGTAAACCAGTTCTGAAATTAATGATATAAATTAAAAACATAGTCATAATTGCTATAAGAGAAAGTATGTCTGTATAATGAACTAGAGTTGCTGAATAATTAGCATAAACATCTAGTGAGGTCTTTTTATGTTATATCTGTATTTTTGTCAGAAGTTTGAAATACAGATATACATGTGGATTAAAGGCACGTGGGTGGTACAAGCAATTTGCAATTGGCAAATGACGTAAAGGATGGCAGTTCAAACCCAGCCACAGACCTCATTGAAGCAAAGGTCCGTTGAACTGCTTCTATAAACATTGCAGACAAGAAAACCGCATGGAGCAGTTCTACTCTGTAACACGTGGGGTTGCCATGAGTCAGAATCTACTCAATGGCTGTGTTTGTTTGTGTGTTTGTTGTTGTTAAGTGCTGTGGAGTCAGTTCCGACCCTTAGCGACCCTGTATAGGGTTTCCGATGAGCTGCTAGTGAGCTTGAACCACCGACCTTTTGGTTCAAACCAACTTTGCAGTCCAAAACACTAACTTACAGTGCCACACCAGGACTCCCATTTGTGTGTATATGCATATAAAAAATATGCATGCATACATACACATATAAAGAGAAAGAAACACAAAAAACCCAATGAATTATAAAATGGCATTGATGATCCTGTGTGCAAATAAATGAATCTCAGTGGGTGAAGTCTAATCAAGATGGATAGGCTAGGTCTGTTTTTTCACCTCAGAACAAATGCTGTATTTGAGATCTCTGCAGCTTGATGCTCTAGAGGCTTTGCACCTTTCCTTTCTCAAGGATTTGTAGAGCTTACTCAGTCAGTGAGGGGATAATTCTGACTTGCAGTGATCAGCCAACAATGATCGTCCTCCTGCAAGTTCCAGAGTTTTTACTTCCATAGTCTCTATTTCCATCGTCAATCGACTGTAACTGCATAAAAAGTTCTTTTCAGTTGGAGGCATTTTTCTTTTAGGTCCTAATGGCAAGAACAAAGTTAGCTGTGCTTATTTATTGTAATGAGTAAGGGCTAAGCGTTGGATCCAGGCACTCAGTCTTGAATCCTGGATCCTTCACTTACCTGGATGTGTAACCTTTCGGCAGTCAGTTTCTTGCCCTCACTATGCCTCAGGTTCCTCTTCTGTGAAATGGAGATAATGCTATATCCTGGGGTTTCCTTGAGTCAGAATCAACTTGATGACAACTAACAACATATAAGGGTTATTTTGAGGATGATTATTTTTGTGTGCTGTTGAGTCAATTTCAAAGTCATACTGGGACTGTAAAACAGGGTAGAACTGCTTCTTCATGTTTCCTAGACTATATCTTTATGGGGAAAGATTGCTGTCTTTTCTTCAAAGGAGGTACTTGTGGATTCAACCCACCAACATTTTGGCTGACAGCTGAGTGCTTAACCATTGTGGCACCAGGACTCTTCTATGAGGACTAGATGTTTGAATATAGGTAAAGGATTCCAAAGGAGCATGGTGGTGTTTTAGGATAAACACTGGGGTTGCTAATTACAAATTTGGTGGTTCAAGCCCTCCAGCCACTTCACAGGAGAAGGATGAAGGTTTCTGTTCCCATAAACATTTACAACCTTGGAAACCCTATACAGGGTCATTGTAAGTTGGAACCGACTCAATGGCACTTAATAAGAGCAATAGCAAAGGTCTCTAGGTAGCACAAATGATTTACACTAAACTGTTGTTGTTAAGTGCTGTGGAGTTGGTTCTGTCTCACAGTGACCCTGTTTAGGGTTTCTGAGGAGCAGCTGGTGAGTTGGAACTGCCAACATTATGGTTCAAACCGACCTATGGTCGAGTACTTATCCTACAGTGCCATACCAGCACTTAACTACCAACATGGAAAGGAGCCCTGGTAGTATAGTGTGCTATGTGTTGCACTGCTAGCCGCAAGGCCAGCAGTTCAAGTCCACCAGGTGCTCCTGGGGAGAAAGGTGAAGCTTTCTGCTTCCACAAAGATTTACAGCCTCAGAAACCCTGTAGAGGGTCTCTATGAGTTGGAATTGACTGATTCCATGGCACATAACCACTACCACTTAAAGGTTGGTGGTTTAAGCCCAACCAGTGGTCCAGTGGGAGAAAGGACCTGTTAATCTGTTTCCATTATGATTATAGTCAACACAGAGATGATGACATGGAAAGATAGAGCAGCTGAGGACTCTAGACTCATGAAAAGAGAAAGGCTGGGTGCTGGGGGTCAGGAGGCAGGCTTATAGAATGTGCCCTTCAGCTGTTTAAATGATTATATATTTCTGAGTGTTTTTGTGTACATCAAAAACAAAACAACAAAACAAAAAACAGATGGAATAGAAGCAAATACTGTTGAATGATGATGCATGGAAGGGATTGTAATCATTGCTATGAAACAAAATACGATAGGATGAGTACAAAACTGATGTTTTCCCATGTAAACTATCACTCAATTCACAATAAGGTTTTTTTAATAATAATAATAATATAAAAAAACTATAGCCAAGAAAACCTTATGTAAGTAACATAAGGCATTGCCACCAGTCAGAATTCACAAGCACTAATAACTGTAGAATAGGCTCTGGACTGTTAACCTCAAATCCTAGGAATTCAGAATACATGAACTTAGGCTGACGTTAAAGCAGATATATACTTTTTGTGGAACATATACCAAGGAAACAAAATGATAAGAACACAAGTTAAAGATAAAAAGCTACCAAATTTTTATTTACAATAATTAAGTCTAAATATAATTTTGTATTATATAATAAGTCCGTTGCTTCCTAAAAGGTGATGGTCAGATAAGAAATCATCTCACTTTGAAGTCCTAATGTGATGCTGTAGGATAAGCAATGGTGGTTGTGGTTGTTATGTGCCGTCGAGTCAGTTACGACTCACAGCGACTCTGTACAAGGTTTCTGAGACTATAAATCTTTACGGGAGCAGAAAGCCTCATCTTTCTCCCATGGAACACCTGGTAGTTTCGAACTGCTGACCCTGAGATTATCAGCCCGATTTGTAACCATTAAGCTATCAGAGCTCCACTGTTAACCAAATAGTCGGTGGCTTAAACCCACCAGCCATTCCTCAGAACCCCTATATAAGTGGAGTTCTCTATAAGTTGGAACTGACTCCACTGCACTTAATAGGCATTACAAATAATTAGTACCATGTACATGTTAAAAATAAAATTGTTAGGTCATGTAAAAAGTCATGCTCTGAGCTTTTTAAAATGTCAGAATGTTTAAGTATATTCAGATAAATCTCTATTAACTCACTGCGCTCTGGTCAATTCTGACTCATAACAATTGTATAGGACAAAGTAGAAATGCTCTATTGTGTTTCCAAGACTATATCTTTATGGGAGCAGAGAGCCTCATCTTTCTCTCCAGGAGTGGCTGGTGGCTTTGAACCTCTGACCTTGCAGTTGTTGTTAAGTGCTGTCAAGACAGTTCTGACTCATAGCAACCCTGTATAAGGTTTCTGAGGAGTGGCTGGTGTGTTTAAATCACTGATCTTTTGGTTCAAATCAGCCTTAGGGCCCAGTGCATTATCCTGCAGCACCACACCAGGACTCCATAACCTTGCAGTTGTTAAGTGCCATTGAGTTAGTTCCGACTCATAGCAGCCCTGTATAGGGTTTCCAAAGAGGGGCTGGTGAGCTTGAATTGACAACCTTGCAGTTCAAACTGACCTTGCAGTCCAGCACATTAACCGGCAGCACAATACCAGGACTCCTACTGTTGGTGTTAGGTGCCATCAAGTCATTTCTGACTCATAGCAACTCTGTGCACAACAAAACAAAACACCGCCATCCTAACAATTGTTATGAGTCCATTGTTGCTGCTTCCATGTCAGTTCATCTTGTTGAGGATCTTCCTCTGTTTCCATGACCCTCCAATTTACTAAGCATAATGTCCTTCTCCAGGGATTGGTCCATCTTGACAACAAGTCCAAAGTACGAGAGATGAAATCTCACCATGCTTGTTTCTAAGGAGCATTCTGGTTGTACTTCCTCCAAGACTGATTTCTCTGTTCTTTTGGCAGTCATGGTATTTTCAGTATACTTAGCCAACACCATAATTCAAATGTATCAATTCTACAGTCTTCCTTACTCAATGGCCAACTTTAACATACATGTGTCAAGTACAACTTAGTCCTCAAAGATATCTTCTCTCTTTAATACTTTACAGAGGTCTTTTGCAGCAGCTTTGTGTAATGCAATATGTTGTTTGGCTTCTTGGCTGCTGCTTTCATTAGTGTTGGATCTGGATCCAAGCAAAATGAAGCCTTTGACAACTTGAACGTCGTCTTCATTTATCATAATGTTATTTTTGGTCCGGTTGTGAGGACCAAAAATACATTTCTATACATTAGGGTGCTTCTTTGCTTCTAGCAAACAACGTTGTGTCTTCTGTATATCACAGGTTGTTACTAAGCCTTCCACCAATCATAGTACCACATTCTTCTCTTATAATCAAGCTTCTTGGATTATTTGCTTACCATACAAGTTGAATAAGCATAGTGAAAGGGTACAACTCTGGCACACACCTTTCCTGATTTTAAACCACTTAGTATCTCTTTGTTCTGTTCTAACGACTGCATCCTGATCTTTATACAGGTCTCTCACGAACACAAGTGTTCTGGAATTCCCATTCTTCCCAATGTTATCCATAGTTTGTTATGATCCACACCTTTTCATGGTCAATTGTTATTGATAAGTGGCATCACGTCGGTTCTGACCCACAACGACCCTGTATAGGGTTTCTGAGTAGTGTCTGGTGCGCTTGAACTGCTGACCTTGTGGTTCAAACCACTTTGTAATCTAGTGCATTAACCCATGCCACACCAGGACCCCAATAAAGCGCAGTTAAACCTCTTTCTGGTATTCTCTACTTTCAGCTAAGATCCTTCCGACATTTACAGTGACATTCTTTATTCCAAATCCGCTTCTGAATTTGCCTTGACTTTCTGGCAGCTCACTGTCGAGGTAGTGCTGCAATCATTTTTTGAATGATCTTCTGCAAAATTTTACTTGAATGTGATATTATTAATACTGTGATTTCAGCAATTCATTGGGTCACCTTTCTTTGGAATGGGTACAAATATGGATATCTTCGTGGATTAGACAAGTGAGAAATTCCAGTACAGCATCAGTTTGTTAAAACAGTTCAGTTGATGTTCATTCAATCCCTAGAGCATGCAGCTTGGACTCCTTCTTTCAGTACCATTAGTTCTCGATAATATACTACCTGTTGAAAAGTTTGAACATTAACCAGTTCTTTTTGGTATAGTGGTTCTGTGTATTCTTTCCATCTTCTTTTGATGTTTTCTTCAATATTCTGCCCAAATTGTTGTTATTGTTGTTGTGTGACTTTGAATCAATTCCAACACATAGCAAGGCTGTTTGGGGTCTCTGAGAGCAATCGGTGTAATTGAACTGGTAACCATGATGTTACCAGCCCATTACTTATCCTACAGCACCATACGAGGGCTCATTTGGCCCATGGAATCCTGACTATTCCAACCCGAGGCTTGAATTGTTTCTTCAGTTCTTTTAGCTTGAGAAATGCTGAGCATGTTCTTCTCTTTTGATTTTCTAACCTCGGGGCTTTGCACATTTCATTATAATACTTGACTTTGTCTTCTCAATTCCTTTGAAATTTTCTGTTCTGCTTTTTACTTCATCATTAATTTCAAAATAGCAATGATTACTGTTGTTGTTAGTGTGTCATTCAGTTGTGTTTGGCTCATAGCTACCCCATATAATAGGGTTAGAATTGCCTCTTTGGCTTTTCTTGGCTATACTCATCATGGAAGCATTTTACTTGGTCTTTCTTCCAAACAGCAATCTGTTGTTGTTTTTTAAGTATCATTGAGTTGGTCCTGATTCATAGTGACCCTGTACCGAATTTCCGAGGAGTGGCTTGTGAATTTGAACTGCCGACCTTTCAGTTCAAACCAGCCGTGCATTATCCCATGGTTCCACACAAGGATTCCCCCAAAACAATAGCAGCCATTTATGTTGTATAAAAGTTTTAAGTACATTCTGATAATTCAAAGATAATTTCAAAGAAAACAAATATATTGAGACAAGCTTCTATTGTTGTTGTTGTTAAGTGCCATTGAGTCAGTCCGACCCATAGTAACCCTGTATAGGGTTTCTGAGGAGCAGTTGGTGAGTTTGAACTACTAGGAACTCCCATTTTGTTTGAAGATAACAATAATATTTACGTGTATTGCATGTGTGTGTGTATATATATATAAATGAAATGTACATTGTACTAATATTTGCTTCTAATGCTTTTATTCATAGATACTGAGGATTTTTCACAAAGAGATGGTGCTGAACCTAAAGAGCCACTTCTTTCTTCCACCGATCACCTAAGTTCACAGATAATGGGCAGGGAAATGGAAAATAATTCATCAGAATCATCTTTTGCAGATTCCTCTATAGTTTCAGGTATTTGAAACACGTATTATTATGAGCATTTTAAGTACCCTAATTATTGATGTTATTGTTAAGTGCTGTCAAGTTGGTTTGGACTCATACCTATCCTGTATAGGGTTTCTGAGGCTGTAAATCTTTGCTGGAGTAGAAAGCCTCATTTTTCTCCTGAGGAGCAGCTCGTGGGCTTGAACTGCTGACCTGGCAGTTTGCAGTCATGTCCTTATCCTACAGAGCCTCTGTTCTCACACCTAATTACTATTTCTAGAAAAATCAACTGATTGACTAATGAAATCATAATCTCTTAAACAAAGGGGGTGAAATTTTAGGCTTTATGAGCATTTTTTATTAAAGCAAAATAGTCTTTTAGAGAAGAAAAATCAAAATTGTTTTTCTTGGGTCTACAAAATTTTTGGAGTCCTGGTATGGTACTATGGGTTAATACACAGGACTGCAAAGTCCGTTTGAATGCAAGGTCAGACGTTCAAGCTCACCAGCCGCTTCTTGGAAACCCTATACAGCATCGCTATAGGTTGGAAATGACTCAACAACACTTAACAATAACAACAGCAAAGTTTTTAAAACTAGTGCAGCATGAATTTGCTGTAAATATGAGCATATTTAGTTCCATTTTATTTTACATCATATATGTAATGTGCTAAATAGCATCAGCTGTCTTATATTTCATGATTTACAAAATGCTTTCAAATATAGTAACTAGTTTGATTCCTTTAAAACCCTAAGAACATATAAAGCTGTTACTTTTTGCCCTATTTTGCAGCCTATGGGATCTCAGAGTTCAGAGGGGTTGTAGAAGCCAAGATTAAGACTGCAAAAAGAGAGGTCAATCCTAAACTGGAGTTGGCTTGAGTTGGAGTCACTAACCAGTGTGAGAATTAAATACCACCCTGTCTATGTTTTTGACGATGAAACAACCCTGAAAGAATCAAATTAGTGTTACTATTTTCTTTCTCTAAATGTTCATGGTTATATAGGAGAATCCTGTCTTTCCCTTGCTCCTCCCCAAAAGCACTAAGAAATAGTTGCTTAAAGTTGGTTCTGTGCTGATAAATGTTTGACTGGTTCTCTGGGGAAAGGAAAAAAATAGTCCAGATTTCGGCATTTATGTCTTGGTGTGGCACTGTAGTATAACCCACAAGGTCAGCGGTTCGAACTCACCAGCCACTCCTCAAAAACCCTGTACAGGGTCCGTGTGAGTCAGAACCAACTTGAAGGCAGTTATCAACAGCAATTTCCACAGTGTAATTATGACCACTAAGAATGGTTTCAAGCCTCCTACATGATGTCACTGAACATGGTGACAGAAAGAGATACACAGTAGCAAGACCAGAATGGATGTCCCTTTTTATCTCTGCCAACTTTATTTCCTCCATATAGATATCATAGAAATAAAAGCCCATGAGCATAAATAATAGTAAAATGATGAAGTGCTAAGTCTAAAGCATTTATTACCTTTGCTTTTAATTTTAGGTTACATAATTTAATTTATAGTAATGACTGTTTTACAACTGGATTCACAACAATAATGAAAGTTTAACAATTGGCTCTAGGGGCCAGAATAAACTGCAAAATTATAGTATATTCTACCCCAAAAAGAGTAAATCTGCATTTCAGAAAATTTGGGAAACAGATAAATAAAAGTCACTGTATTTCCATAGTATGTATGTGCATATATTCCAGTTAACATTTGGGTATCTGCTTTTCCTATCTTTTTTTATACCTGGATGTGTATACTAGTATATACTAGTATATAATGACATTTCTCTTATGTTCATTAAATATTCTTCCACAGCATGGTTTTTTAATGGCTGAATAATAATCCTACCATTTGGAGGTATTATACTTAATTAGCTAATCTTACACTGTTGAGCACTTACGATGTTTCCAAATTTCCACTATCATGAATAATGCTGAGATAACTCTTCATACATACGTCTCAATTTATTTCTTTAAAACATACTCATTCGTGTTAGAGCAATTGTTGGGTCAAATGATTTATACTGTTTTAAGACACTTGATACTTCATGTCAAATTTTCCTCTAGAAATTTGCAGCAATTTACATATATGTTAGCATTACACAAGAGTGCCAATTTCCTTGAATTCTATATAATAGTGGATATCATATGAAGTCCTGGTGTGATGCTGTGGGTTAATGAACCAGATTGCAAAGTTATTTGAACTGCAAGGTTGGCGATTCAAGCTCACCATATGCTCCTTGGAAACCCCATACATGGTTGCTTTGGGTCGGAACCAACTTAACAGCGCTTAATAACAACAATCATATGGTGCTGTAGGATAAGCACTAGACCTCATGGTCTATTTGAACTGAAAGGTGACGGTTCAAACTCTCCAGCAACTTCTTGGAAACCCTATACAGAGTCTCTGTGAGTTGGAACCGACTCAACAGCACTTAAAAAACAATAACATTGTTTTGTTCAATCTTTGCCAATTCTATCTTTATAAAAAATGGCATTGACTTGAATTTGAATTTTCTGATTTCTAGTGAAAAACATTTTATTAGATATAATGAAAGACATAAACAGGTTCATTCAGTTTTTGCTGTTAAGTTGCCTATCCATTTTTCTAATGGATATTTATTTTATTCTTGTTGATTTATATTATCTATAAGCTCTGGTGGTGCTGTGGGTTAGCCATTGGGTTGATAACCTCAAGGTCTTTGGCTCAAGCCCACTGGATGCTTTGAGGAAGAAAGTTGAGACTCTCTGCTTCGTAAAGATTTACAGTCTCGAAACCCAGTATGGGGGCACTGTTAGTGCTAATCTACTTGATGGCAGTTTTTTCACTCGCCCATTTCTAAATGAATACAAATTCTAAAAGATATTTGAACAATGCTCAGAACTTTAATAAGATTTTAATGCTTGATTATATTGTTCTGTGCCTGAAATCACTGGTCATCTTGCAGTAAGAAAATTCTGGAACATTTATGAACTTCTTTAAACCACACTTCTCTAGATTACATCAGAGGAACACAAGACCTACCTTCATTTAGTTCTATTAAAAAGATTTCAACTATTGATATCTGGCTTATTTGAGACTATAAGCTTACAGCAAAATTAGTTGCATAATCATTTTTAATTGGCTTCTATTGCTCCTTTGTCAAAATGAGGAAGTAGTTATTTTACATGTACTTTTAAAATTGTATTATGTGCTGTGGATTAGTGCTCAAGACTGCAAGGTCAGTTTCAGCTGGCAAGGTAGGCAGTTCTAGTTCACCAGCCAGCTGCTCCTTGGAAACCCTACACAGGGTCGTTTTGAGTCGGAACCGACTCGACGACACTTAACAACAACAAGTGGGGTTAGTGTGAGTTGGAATGGACTTAACAGCAACCAACAACAGGTACTACAACTTAATGTTCTATAATAAAATGAAATAAAATCTCACACTAAATAAACTGTATTGCATTTGTAACAAAGTTATTTTTTTATGGAGTTGAGCAGAAAATTCCCCAAACGTTCCTTTCTGTACTAGAGAATGCAAATTCCTCCTGTTGGCCAGCAGAGGGTGCTTTTACATTTATAAAGAATGAAATTCCACTATTGCTGTGTGAAACAGGATAAGGTAACAGTGTAGAGTGCCCTGTGCGCATGACTGTGAATACATGTGTATATTTTGATTTATATATTCCTTCACGTGAAGATTTTAAAATTCCACCCCAGCTAATGAGCTTACCAACCTGCTTGTTTTCAGACTTTAATACCTTCTTTTTCATATTTCCCCATATGTTCTACTCCTTAGGTTTATCCGGTGACATTATGCTTTGGAATATATTGTGGATATATTTTGCATAGATCATGTTCTGTAGGAGGGGTTTAAAAATTGACCTTTATAAAACAGCCTCTTTCTCCCTGGCCCAATCTGTTAGAGTGCTTTTTTTGTTGTTGTTTTGTTTTGCCTTTTTATAGACCAAAGTCCAATCTTAGATTTGGTCTATACTAATTCCTGTAAAACTGCCACAAAATTTGTCCTTGCAATAATGCTCTACAATACTAACCTCGAGAAATATAGAGAGTTCTAGAATCTTTAGAAACAAGTGCAATAACATTTGAGAACTTAGTGAGAAAAATAATGAATATAGTACTATACAATAATAGTGTATCAGAATCACCCCACACTGCTTCAGGATTGGTATGAATTGAGACATTTATCTTTTCTACTTCTATATTTGTCTAAATTTAATTAACATTCATTGCTGGGAACTAGCAATACTAGTGAGGCAATCCAAAAGGCAGATAGGATTTTGAGCCAAGAAAGAGAGAGACTGATGTTGGATTTATTAAGGGATAATGGGGTGGTGATTGTGTAACGTGGAGTTGGTTCCAACTCATCGTGACCCTACGTAGGGTTTCTCAGAAAGCCTCATCTTTCCTCCGTGGAATAGCTAGTTCGTAGTTTCTAACTGCTAACCTTGAAGTTACCAGCGTAACTCATAACCACTACACTACCAGCACTACCAGTGGTCCTTATAAAATTAGGGGTCTCTGACAATAACCTGGTGTGGCGTTGTAGGTTAATGTGGCAGCCTGCAAAGCCGTTTGAACTGCAAGGTTGGCAGTTCAAGCTTACCAGCTGCTCCTTGGAAACCCTATACAGGGTCGCTACGGGTAGGAACTGACTCGACGGCACTTAACAACAACAATAATTTCAACTACTGCTTTTCCTAAAAGAGAAGGGGGCCTCAGAGAGAGAATACTTAAAAAAGTTTACAATTGTTTAGATAATTGCAAAATACTCTAACAATACATGTGTGATCTCAGATTGTTTGTAACACAGGCTTTAATTAGTGGAATGTAGTTCTGGTGACCACAGGGTCAGCGGTTCATATCCATCAGCCACTCCTCAGAAAGCCTACACAGGGTTGCTATGGGTTGGAACTGACTTGACAGCACTTAACAACAACAACTTCCAGTGGGATGCTGGGACCACTTCCAGTCAGATAACAAGAACTGACTGAGGATATACTTCTTTTCCCTA